TGGGGATGTTCGATAGAGGTGAACGTCATTCGGATGCCAATCCCTCGACAGAATTTGCGGACTCTCCCGCTCGCGAATTGCATCCCGTTATCTGATACGAGCACTTGGGGAACGCCATATCTGCATACTACATTCTTCCATAGAAATGTCCTTACCTTCTCCGCCGAAATAGTTGCTACAAGCTCTGCTTCAATCCATTTGCTGAAGTAGTCTACAGCCACTATCAAGAATTTCAACTGTCTCACCGCGATCGGAAATGGACCGAGAATGTCAATACCCCACTTGTTGAATGGTCAAGTAGACAAGATCGAGTGGAGTCGTTCAGCTGGGGAGTGGTGTAAAGTTGCGTGCCTTTAACATCCATCACACTTTTGAACCCAATTGATACAGTCATTTCTCAGGGTCGGCCAAAAGTAGCCTGCCCTCGCAACCTTGTATACTAGCGCTCGTCCTCCGATATGGCTTCCACACATGCCCCCATGCACTTCATTCATCATTCTTTGCGCTTGCGATGTGGTCAAACATCTCAAAAGGGGACTGCTAAAACCCCTTCGATATAGTCTCTCATTGATGACCACAAATCTGGCTGACTCCCTTTGTATCAATGATGCCTCCCTTTTATCCTCTGGCAACTCTCCCCTTGTCAGGTACGCAATATACGGTCCCATCCACGAATCGAGTTCTTCTTGGATGAAAAGAACACTCCCCTGTGGAGTGTTGATACTTGGCTGAGTTAAAGTTTCTTGGATAACCGACCAAGTGGCTTCTGGCTTTTTTGTGCTTGCGAGCTTGGAGAGCAGATCGGCTCGCGAGTTTTGCTCTCGTGGTACGTGGCTAAGTGTGAACTCTCGGAAATTTTCTGATAGGAGTTTGACCTTTTCCAAGTACTTGGCCAATTGAGGATCCTTCGCTTGGAAGGTTCCAGCCACTTGTCCGGTGATCAACTAGGAGTCGCTTCTAGCTGACAAGCTCGTCGCCCCCATCTCCTTTGCCAAACTCATCCTTGCTAACAACGCCTCATACTCGGCTTGGTTGTTGCTTGCCCGGAACTCAAATTGTAATGACAACTCTAGTAGTATTCCCCCCGGGCCTTCCAAGACAATTCCAGCTCCACTTCCTCCTAGATTCGAAGCACCATCCACTGACAGAATCCATTGGGTTTCTCCGACTGTGCCCTCTTCAACCGGAGGGGTCAACTCCATCAGGAAATCGATTAATGCTTGAGCTTTGATCGCTCCTCTCGGCTCATACTTGATGGAGAATTCTGACAGCTCGACCGACCACTTCATCACTCTACCTGCCAGATCGGGTTTCTGCAAGACTTGGCGAATCGGATGGTCAGTTCGGATTACCACCTCGTAGCTCTAAAAATAGTGCCTTAGCTTCCTCGCAGTAACTAGTATTGTGAGGGCTAACTTTTCAATCTTCTGGTACCTCGTCTCTGCTCCCTGTAAGACCCTGCTCACGAAGTAAATAGGAACTTGTGAACCTTCGTGTTCTTGTACAAGAACCAAACTGACTGCTCGGTCGGATGCCGATATGTAAAACAACAAAGGGAGGCTCAATCGTGGTTTTGTCAGAATCGGCGACGATGCCAGTGATCTCTTGAGTTCTGTGAAAGCTTCTTCACACTCGTTCGTCCAAGCAAAACAATCATTCTTCTTCAGACATTGGAAAAGCGGTAACGCCTTATCGGCTGACCTGGACAGAAAACGAGACAGTGTAAGGATTTTAAATAGGCAAGCGCACCCAAGTCTCTGTAGTATGATTAAAAGGTTGTCGAACCTCAGGGACTTGTGAGATAACTTAGATTTCTATTATATTAATTGATGCTTATAAATTTAAAACTGGAATAGTTACACATATTCAATTGAGTTCCCAAAAAGAATTTTTTTTTTTAAGAGTTGAAAATATCATTCAAAAAGATCTAACTAACAGTCAACAGGAATCTAAAAAATGTACATGAAATCAGATCTAGACAAAGCAACCATTTCACTTAGTACTTACCAAATAAAGCATCATCAAATCGAAGCAGAAAATTGAAATCCAAGTACTAATGTACCCAAAGTAAAACGCAAAATACTTAAAATAAACGAAATGAAACAAAATAAACTGCACAAAAACCCTCAGATGTCCTCATCATCATGGTCATCTCCTTCTTGTTCTCCTTCAACTCCATCTCTTCCCTCTTCCTCTTCACCTCCAGCTCCACCTTCTTGCTCCTGCTCATCCTCTGGCATTGGCTGCTCCTCCTCTCCTCCTTCAAAATATGGACTGTCCCCAGGCCAATAGAAGTGTTGCTGGAAAGTCTCTGGGGATGGCCACTGAAAGGGAGGTCCTCCATGAAACTGTTGTTGATGAGCATGATACATGCTTGTGTTGAGAGACATCAACGCCAGATGATTAGCCAAATTTTGCTGCTCTATATGGTGAAAATGGGCAACCATGAACTCTTGGCCAGGTAATTGGGAGGAAGAAGATCCTTGCCATTGCCTTGGAGGCCTAGGTTGAGAGGCATCACCGTGCGGCTCACTTTTACAATGAATTTTAATATATGCAGCATTGATGGGAGGTCTAAGAGATTTATTTAAATTACCAGGCAGACGAGAACCATTAACTAAACATAAACCAATAATTAAACCTGGAAAACCCAAAGGTTTAGAAACACCTGTTGAAGAAGAAGAGGATAGCACAATCTTATGTATTTCATCTGAAATAACAGTGGCTATATCTATCTCAGTCTTTTGCAAAATGGAGTAAAGAAGTGTGGCTCTGGGCATGTTCAAATCAGATATGTGGGTGATGCAGTACACATGGCAAACATAACAGCTTGGCCATTTTGGCCGCATTAAAAGCACGGGCCTTCTTCAATCGGCCGTATTCATCCAAACCATCACCTCCTATAACATCACGACTACCCAAATACTGCTGAATGGCATTCCTAGAATAACTGACCACAGCTCCTCTGACCCAGCTATTTCTAGTTTTATCAGTCCTCTGGAGCGGGTAAGCATTGGCATAAAACTCCTTGATGATCTCTTCATTATATTTCTTCTCAGGAGTAGCCAGTTTGTTCCATTTCCTGCGAGTCAGTTCTCCTTGGAATTCCATATATTCTCCTGCTTCCAACTCCACCCGCCTTTCAGTAACTATCTGTCGAGGCTCCAATTCAGCATATCGTTGTTGCTTGGACTTGGTCATGAACCTGTGTCTATCCAAACGAATTGGAGCGACAGGTGGAGGAGAAGGATCCTCATTGTCAGACTCTTGTGGAGGAGGATTTGAAGAAGCAGCCCCCTTCCTTTTCTTGCTGGCCGGGATCTCATGGGTGGGTTTAGATTTTCCCATCTGCAAATCATTTAAAAACAAGGGCAAACCACAAGTGTTAGGTAATTTCAAATAATTCATTCAATAATAAAAACAACATGAGTCTCTGCCTCTGATCCGCTCAGCGCCTCAGAACCGCTGAGCGCCTTGAGCAACCATGGGTTTCTGTCTTAAGATGGCTCAGCGCCTTGAAAACGCTGAGCAGTTTTTACCCAGAATTTGAAAAGCTTCAATTTTTGAACTTGAAACCCAACAATCAATGAAACCCCAACATGCATTATTGACAGCAAAATAATGGGATTACACAAATTCAAGAACAGAAACAGAAATTCAAACCCCAACCAGCATAGAATAGAGACAAAAATAATCAGCCATTAAAGATAAGGGCTGGCGCAAAAGAAGAATGTTGATAAACATACCTGGAGTCTGAGATGATGTTGTTAGAAGCACAAAGAAGAATAAGAAAAGCATAAAAATTTGAGAGCAAAGTGGGTGATGAGAGTAGTTTTGTGAGAATAGAAGTAGCAAGAGGGAGAAGGAAAGGCTATTTCAAAACGTGACACTGCAGAATGGGAATGGGCAAAGTGGGTTTTATGTTTAACCCTTATGCAGTTGAGTCTCTTTAATTCTAATTTAGTCTCAAACCCGTCACACATCCGCTCAGCGCTTAGGAAGCGCTGAGCGCTTTAGCTCCAGAGAGCTTACTTACCCCAGGCGTTGAGCGCCTTAAATTCGCTGAGCCATTTGGCTCCAGAGAGCTCCAGGGGTTTTTGTCATTCCAGGCGCTGAGCGCCTCCAAGGCGCTGAGCGCCTGACCTCCAGGGACTCATCTGGTTTGCTTACTGATATAAGGGGCTGAGCCCTTCAGAGGGGCTAAGCCACTGAGTCCTGGATCAGAAATTCCTCAATTCTCATTTTAACCAAGTTTTGATCCCAAATTCTTACAATTCTTCTTCTTTACTCAAATTAAACAAGCACACATTGGACATCAAAAGAGAATGCATGATCTAAAGCAAACATACAACAATTTATTCTAAGCATTAAATCCTAATCTTACTCCCTAAAACATCACACATATGAAATTCAACGTGCAATACTAAATAACCAAAACCAATATCAAAACATGATGTCTGGGTTGCCTCCCAGCAAGCGCTCCTTTATTGTCATTAGCTTGACACTTCTTGAAGTCATGGATCATTGAGATGAGTTACAGTGGTGAGTTTCTCAACCTCACCACCCAAGTATGGCTTGAGTCTCTGACCATTCACCATCCAAGATCTCCTAGAATTTGGCTCTTCCAACTCCACTGCCCCATATGGCTTGACTGATTTGATCACAAATGGGCCTGACCACTTGGACTTGAGCTTTCCAGGGAATAATCTCAACCTGGAATTGAACAACAACACCTGTTGGCCTGGTTGGAAATTTCTTTGGACAATCGTCCTGTCATGATAAGACTTGACCTTACTCTTATAGATTTTGGAAGATTCATAAGCCTGTAATCGCATTTCTTCAAGCTCATGTAACTGAAGCTTTCTCTTTTCACATGCGGCCTTCAAATCAAAATTCAAAGCTTTCAAAGCCCAATAGAAGAAAGAAATAAGTCAATAACATATTATACTTTTTTTTTCACATATAATATTATAAATATATATTTCTAAAATTACTGGTAGATTTTGGTTAACTAGTGAGAAAATTGACTATTGATTTATTATTTATAACAATTATTTTCTTTATAAATTTTTCATAACTTACTTATGTAATTTTTTATATTATAAATTAAATAATATTTTTGAATCCGTCCAACAATAGGATTCTGGACGATCTCCACCGATCCGTGTTAAACAGCACCAGTGTTAAAATCATGAACTTAAGAAGTGTTGTTTGATAAAATAAATCCTAAAGAAAAACTAAGAAAAGAAGATTGTCCATAATTTTGTAGTCATGACTTTAGTAGAAGAATTTTGCTTTTGTCAGCAGGCCTGAATGTGTAACCTGAAATTGTGCAAAATAAAAAATAAACATTAACAAATGTAATCTTTAGAAGGTACAAAATATTTTGATTAGATGAGAAACGATCACTCAATTAGTTAAATATTACACAATTTAGCTGATAAAAGTGTATTTAGTTAAGAAAAATATGAAAAGGTTTATGAGTTTCATGTTTCTAGAACAACAAAAAATAAAAAATAAGTTTAGTCACAATTCAACTCTTATTTTGACATTTTGCTAACATTAGAGTTCCCCATCTCTTAATGGACCGGATGCAATATTTTTTTTCATCATATTTAATATTGTCTTGCCTCTATTCTGTTCTTTTCTTTATATCTTTTGTGAAGAATTCAATTATAAGAAATGAATTAATGGTATATATAAAAAGAAAAATTTAAAGATAATGAAAAAAGAAGAAAAAAAAAGTGATCTGTAATGAGAAAGGAATATATGAGAAAAAATGTGGTAAAATGGGAAATAGAAGATAACTAGATTCCCTATTAAAACTTAAAAGTACCTTATACATTAGCTAATGTTATTTTCTTTTAATGTATCAATCTTTTATAGCAATCACAGATGGAAAAAAAAAATTATAATCCCTTATGTAGGAAAACTTTAACTATACAGTTAAGTACTTGAAGTAATTTTTTTATGTCAACTTAAATTCTGTCAAATTATTGTTAGTCATTTTCCAACATGTGTTTTTGTCAAAATTGTCATTTTAACTAGAAGATCATGGTAAAACTTGAGACGCATGCCAAGTTAAATTGATTAGTATAAAACAATAATAGTTTTGACAATTTTCACCATAAATATATACATACTTATATTCTTCTTCTCTGGCCTTCACAAACGAGTTAGAGTCCGAGAAGCACGAAGTAAATTATTGTTACAGGCAATGAAACCACCGTTCCAAGGATAACCCTGCAAATTGGGAGAAATGTCTTTTAGAGTTTATGTTGGTTTATTATATTCACAAGGCAAAAAAAAAAAAAAACTATTTTTAATAGCTGTAAACTTTAAAAACATCACACTTACGCTGTGCTAAATATATCTGCATGGAGATTGTATTCTTTGGCAAATACAAAGGAGGTGATAGCTTGAGGAAGAGCAGCCTGCAAAATTAAACATGGTGATATAAATAATTACATGACTTTGAATATATATGTTATTGTAATTTAAGGGTAAATAACAATCATCTTCTTTCAGCCAGGTAGAGGTGTGCAAAAAATCTAAATTGATCTTAATCGATCCATATTAAAAAATCTGATTCATTTTGAAAAAAAAATCCGAACCGAACTACCTTATAAAACCGGTTTAGTTATCCAATCCATTTTTACAAAGTAGATCGGTTTGGTTCGATTTGATTTTTTAAAAAAATCGATTCATATATGAGTAAAAAGTGGATAACTGCACCCCACCGAGCCGATCTAATTTCAAAAAAAATGTTCCATATTTTAAAAAAACTAAACCGGTCTAATTTATAAAAAATGGATAGGTTAACCGATTCACTTTTATAAATATTTGATTTGATTCGGCTCGAATTTTTCAAAAAACTGATCCATAAACATCCTTATTTTCAAGTTTCAAAATATAACAACAAGCCCTGATGTAGTAAGGGTTAATAATATAGAAAGTGGATTTTTTTTGACAAACCAAAGCTCGTTGTTATTTTAAAAAAAGACCTATGGCGGAAGGGGATGAGTGTTGTTTAGTATGATTAATTAAAGGAATTTGCAAGTGAGTTTTGTTTACTTGAACAATGGCAACACGTAAAAGAACTCCTCGGATGCCGATGACAAAGGATGTTATAGCAATCACTGATGGACCAACAAAAAATCGAGCTATCATAGAAATTGCTGCCCAAGTATTTCCACCAGCTACAGTCTTGGGTTGTAATGCCATGAATAGACCTATTTAAGCAAGTGCCATTCGAAAGTCTTACCCAACAAAGCCATCGCATCAAAATATATATAGATAGATAGATAAAAGAAAGAATTTATTTATTTTAAAAATAAATTTACCTAAATTTATTTTATTTAATATTTTATATTAAATTTCAACTATTTAATTATTAATTTAAAAGTTTTTAATGTCTAGATTAACTTTATAAATTTTTAAAATTTTTGAAAACTATTTGATATTTTGTTTCATTAATGCAAATTAATGTATAAAATGTTTTTATGATTTTTTTCAATTTCAATTAATGAAGCGAAATATCAAATAATTTCAAATTTTTTAAAGATTTGCATACTTGATCTATGTACTAAAATTTAAATTTAACTATTAAATCGTTGAAATTGAATAAAAAAACATGAGATATTAAGTGGAATGAGTCTAGATATACTTAGTCTTGAAATAAATGTATTCCTTTTCTATACATATGGACTTACACACTCAGTTATTATTTTTTTAATATTAAAAAAATAATTTCATTTTAAAAAACATTTAGCATATAATTTGGTAAAATACAGTCTCTAAAAATAAATAGGGATATACTTACAATTTAATTTTCTAACGTATGTATATATGTATAAAGTTAGAATTTTTAATTATTATAAAATATGTTAATTATAAAGCTAGTTAGTGGTATTATGACTTTTTTATAACCAAAGATTAAACATAAATGATTAATGAGTTGAGTTTGATTTTTGATGAAAATAATTTTTGACCAAACTTTACTTATTTTTTACAGAGTCAAATTAGTTTAAGTCTTGGAACACTTGTAAAAAAAAAGTCATAACTTTTTTATTTTGATTATTGTAATATAATCTAATAATTTTTATTTATATTTTAGTTTCTCTCGATAACAAAAGTTTTCATTTGATATGTTTCATATATACATATAAGTTTGATATATGTTATGTCTCAAAATCAAAATAAAATAAAAAAAATTAAAATAGTGAAATAAATACATGGCACAAATATTTTACCTTATTTTCTTTTCTCAAGACTAAAATTTTACATAAGCAAACCTAACTTTTTTTTTATTCAAATATTTAATATTTGTATCCTTGCGTACATATGTCATTCCATGGTTAATGCTAGTCTTGAAAAAGTATAAAAAATGAACATGCACGGCCACAGTTGCATGTTGGGTCTGTGCATCCACTTTGTAGAATGACCTTTTATGTCAAAAAAAAAAAAAGTTTCATATTCCTGTTAACTTCTCAACGAAAACGTTTTTATGTTATTTTTTTTTGTAAAAAATAAAAATACAATAAATGGTGTAAAATTAATGAAACCAAATGTTTCTAAAATTAATTTTAAAAATACACTTTTTCAAGAAATAGATTGTAATTTCTTCTTAAAAAGCATAACATTACTTTTTTAAAAAATAATTTAGACAAAATATCATAAAAGAAAAAAAATGTTTATTTTTATTAAAAAGAAACATTTTCTTCAGTAAAAAAAAAAAAAATGGTTAAAAACGTTGAAAACGTTGAATGCAAAATAAAAAATAAACATTAACAAATGTAATCTTTAGAAGGTACAAAATATTTTGATTAGATGAGAAACGATCACTCAATTAGTTAAATATTACACAATTTAGCTGATAAAAGTGTATTTAGTTAAGAAAAATATGAAAAGGTTTATGAGTTTCATGTTTCTAGAACAACAAAAAATAAAAAATAAGTTTAGTCACAATTCAACTCTTATTTTGACATTTTGCTAACATTAGAGTTCCCCATCTCTTAATGGACCGGATGCAATATTTTTTTTCATCATATTTAATATTGTCTTGCCTCTATTCTGTTCTTTTCTTTATATCTTTTGTGAAGAATTCAATTATAAGAAATGAATTAATGGTAAAATAAAAAATAAACATTAACAAATGTAATCTTTAGAAGGTACAAAATATTTTGATTAGATGAGAAACGATCACTCAATTAGTTAAATATTACACAATTTAGCTGATAAAAGTGTATTTAGTTAAGAAAACCTTTCTTTTTTTTTTCTTTTCTTATATATGAAAACAGAGTAACCAAGAGAGAGATGAATCCGCTCAGCGCCTAGAAACGGCTGAGCGGATTGGGAGTTCTTCACCATGAAGAAACCTCAATGGCTGAGCGCCTTAGATCCGCTGAGCGCTTTAGAGGCAGAGAGCACCCCTTGTTCCTGGATGAAATCCGCTGAGCGGATGGGAATGGCTGAGCGGATTGGAGGCAGAGAGCACTCCTTCTCCTGGATGAAATCTGCTGAGCGCTTTGAAGTGGCTGAGCGCCTTCAGTTTGGGAAGTTCTCTGACCTGAATCCGCTGAGCGCTTTAGAATGGCTGAGCCATTCTTCTCCAGGTTTCAAAACCTACAAAATAAGCACCAAGTTGGATCAAAGGCTTCCTATTCCCTGTACTAACATTAATCAAAAGCACCTCTTTGATTCTAAGCATATATAGATCAAAATAATATCAATATGTACACAAAATGTGCTAGATAAGTGTCTCAAGTGAGTATTAAATCAAACTAATTAGACACTTATCAGACAGCGAAGCCATCCTTCCCGTAAGTTGCTGGACTTCCTTCACCGTGGATGGACTCCTCATGTTGATGATGGTCGAGCACTTGTCGGGGTTTGCTTCAATGCCACGATGAGTCAGTAGGAAACCGAGGAATTTTCCCGCTTGGACCCCGAAAGAGCACTTTTCGGGATTCAATTTGAGCTGGTAGTTGCCGATAGTGTCGAATAACTCCTGTAAGTCGTCGAAATGCCGATTGACGCTTTTTGACTTCACCACCATGTCGTCCATATAAGCTTCCACATTCCGACCTAGTTGATTCCCAAGGACCTTGTCCATTAGTCGCTGATAGGTCGCCCCTGCGTTCTTTAGACCGAACGGCATAACCCTCTAGCAGAAATTGGCTTGATCTGCTATGAAGGTTATCTTGTCCTCGTCCGCTGGATGCATTCGGATTTGGTTGTATCCCGAGTAAGCATCCATAAAGCTCAGCAACTCGTATCCCGACGCCCCATCCACCAAGCAGTCTATGTTTGGAAACGGGTACGAGTCTTTTGAACAGGCCTTATTCAGGTCGGTGAAATCCATACACATTCTCCATTTCCCACTACTCTTGCGCACCATGACTACATTCGCCAACCAGGTTGGATACTAGATTTCTCGGACATGTCCTGCCATTACCAACTTTTGCGTCTCTTCGGCGATAGCCCTTCGTTTCTCCTCGCCGAACTTCCTTCCCTCCTGGATCCCCGCCTTTGCACTAGGGTCTATAGCAAGTTTGTGGCACAAGAAATCTAGATCAATGCCAGGCATGTCACTGGAATGCCACGCAAATGCCGACACATTATCTTTTAGAACCCTTACCAGCCTCTCTTCGTCCTCGGGAGTTAAAGAGGTACCTATCTTTACGTTTCTCCCTTCCATTACCTCCACTTCCTTGACATCTTCCGCTGGGGCGGGTCGGTGATCGAACTGGCCCATTCTAGGGTCCAGTTCGACGGAATGGATGTGCTTTTCAGTTGGAGTGGTATATAATCGCCTTCTTGCCTTTAGACTGTCCTCGTAACACTTTCGGGCGACCTCTTGATCTACTTTGAGGACCCCGACATCCCCATTCGGCAAAGGGTATTTCACCTTCAGGTATGATGTTGACACTATGGCTCCCAGTTTGTTCAGTGTAGGTCGGCCAATAAGTATATTGTAGGACGATTGAGCATTCACCACTAAATATCGGATAGTTACCGTTTTCATCTGTGAACCTTGTCCGAAGGTTGTTTCCAAATCGGCGTACCCTCTAGCCATAACCTGGTCTCCCGCAAAACCTACTAGGGTTCCCGTGTAGGGTAGTAGTCGGTCGTTGGGGATCTTCATTCCCGCGAAAGCTTCCCAAAAGAGGATGTCGGCCGAGCTCCCCTGGTCGACCAGGACGCGCTTCACATTATAGCCCATCACTATCATCGAAATGACGATAGGGTCATCCTCGTGAGGAGCTACCCCTTCATAGTCGGCATCCGAGAAGGAAATCGTGGGTTGGGGTGGTCGGCGGATTTCCGATACGGACATGACGGAGCGAGCGGGAGTACCTTTTTCGAGCAGCCGAGGTGACCCCTCCTCCTGCGAATCCTCCTTCCACTATGTTGAAATCCCCATGAATTGCTTGCTGATGGACCTCCGATGATTTTGCTGGAGTGTCCTTGGGGGGAGTTCTCTCTCTATGCCTATCCCTCCTTGTGTCGTCCTGTACATGCTTGTGTCGCCTATCCGGTGAGCCTTCTTCCGGTTTTCTTGCCACAAACTTTTTCAAACGTCCCTCCTTGATCAAGCGCTCGATCTGTCTTCCAAGGATGAAAGAATTTTTCGTAGAATGCCCGTGAGTCCTGTGAAACTCACACCAGTCGGTCTTGAAGGGACCTAACTGGCGCTCCGTCGCTGCTGGGAACTCGAACAATGCTGCGCTGTTGACATCATGGAGTATCTGCCTCCTAGGGACGTTGAGTGGGGTAAACTTCTCTTCGTCATTGGCACGTGTCCACTTTCCCCTTGGCCGACCGCCCCGATCGGCCTGTCGGTAATTGCCCTCTTTCATGTTATAGCGATCACGCCGCTTATTCCAATCTGAACGCGGTCGAAGATGTTTGTTGCTCTCTTTATTGCTACCTTCTGCCTCCTCTCGGCTTTCAGCAGCTCTTTTGTTAATTTGTCCTTCCTCCGTCTTGATGTGACTCAGGGCGAAAGCTCTCACTTCCGACATCGTTTGACAATTCTCTCTTTCTAGCACGATGTCGAAAGCCCCCGACCTTAAGCCCTTCTGGAACGCGATGACTGCCATCCTCTCATCCAAGGATGCTATCCTCAAGGCGACCTCATTGAACCTTTGCAGAAAATCCTTCAGCGACTCCTCCCGCTACTGCTTGAGATCGAACAAGTCCGACGTGATCGGTGGCTTCTTCTTGTTAGCGGCAAATTGTGCCATGAAGAGCTGACTGAAGACATCAAATTCGGTGATGGATCGGTCAGGGAGACTACTAAACCAATCAAGGGCAGCTTTTTTGAG